CATGTCCATAAGCTTATTAAGATTAGCGAAAATCAACAAATCAAAAGTGCACCTCCCAGATTTGTACTACTCCGATTGGGAACAGTCCCCAAGATTACAATCGATTTAATAGAAGTAGAATTTCAGCTACTGTGAGACAAGATTCTCCTAGACCCAACAATTTCCAACGTTTTCAGAGACCAAGTAATTTTTATAATCGGTTCAGTGGTCCAGGATTTACAAGCCATCATAATTATAATTCTCAAAATAGATTGCCATTGCCACCCAGTCCCTGTAGACTTTGCACCCGGAACGGAATCCCAAATGCTTTTCACTGGTTTAAGGTTTGTCCTTTCAGAGGGGAGAGATCTGATCTGATACACCTAATGTTACGCCCCTTGCAATAGAACCAACCCCAGAAACCCCTCACAGTAGTTGACTATTAAAGGTGTCGGGATATTTGCCCAATAAGAAACGTCTAGAGTGTGTTGTAGACAGTGGTGCCACCATATCAATAATTTCTTCTTCCAAAACAGCTAGACAATTACATGTTTAAAAGTACAAAGAGTTAGATCATTTTCAGTAACCCAAACTAAAGGAAAACATAATCTTTCAACAAAATATGTTGTATACAAATGAAAATTGGACGGATTAGTAACCAAATTACCTTGTTTGTTCTTGATAATAATTTGAATTATGTAATTTTAGGACTTTATGAATGCAAATTATTTGAGTTGAGTATTGATTGTACTAATTTAAAAATTAAACAGAGAGCTATAGTACTTAATGATGACTGCCACTTTGACAGCCGACCCATATCTCTCTACACCTCCAACTTCAAGGTGGTACAACAAATGTTTATCCATGTGTTAATAATGATGATGATGTAAGAAATTTTCCAACCTGTAAATCTCGGACTACAAATCCAAAGGAATTAGTTTCTCAGTCTAACATTTATGTGAAAAATGCTGTTTCTAATACTGTCGATAACAAAGAGTATAACTTAAAAAAATTGTTAAATGATTATTCATCTGTGTTTTCTAAAAATAAGTATGATGTAGGAAAAATTAATATTGAACCTCAACGAATTAATTTAAATTCTGATTTGCCTGTATCATTAAGACCTTATAGAACATCCCCTATGGAAGAAGAGGAAATTAAGACCCAAATTGATCAATTATTACAAGCAGGTATAATTAAAGAAAGTTGTAGCCCATATTCGTCCCCCGTGACTTTAGTACTTAAACGTGAGGAAGGAAAAAAAACTAGATTGTGTATAGATTATCGAAAATTGAATTCCCTGGCTAAAACAGATGCAAACCCTCTTCCTCGCATTGACACTTTGTTAGACAAATTAAGTAAAGCAAAAGTATTTTCTACAATTGATTTGAGATCTGGTTTCTGTTTCTGGCATATCCCGATTCACCCTGCAGATACTGAGAAATTAGCTTTTTGCACGAATTTTGGATTATTCGAATGGTTAAGACTCCCTTTTGGTTTCAAAAATGCTCCTGCAATTTTTAACAGAACAATTAGACGAATATTAACAAAAAATAAAATTAATTTCGCTTGCAGTTACTTTGATGATATAATCGTTTACTCTTCCTCTGAGAAGGAACATTTAGAACATTTAAAAATTTTATTTGAGGTGTTTAAAGAGGAGCATATTAAATTGAATCGAAACAAATGTGTGTTCGCCAGAGATCAAATCACATTTCTTGGCTATGAAATAAAAAATGGTAGAATAATTCCCGATAACCATAATATAGAAGTTATTAAGAAACTTAAAAACCCCAGTAACACCAAAGAGTTACAAAGAGTTTTGGGAAGTGTGAATGTGTATCATAGATTCATTCCGAATTATGCAACTATTAGAGCTCCATTAAACAGACTCTTGAAAAAAGATGTCAAGTGGGAATGGGATGACTAATGTCAAAAAGCTTTCGACGAAATGAAAAGAATACTGATTTCCAAACCTGTTTTACAATTGTATGATTCCAGTAGCAGGCCATGTCATATTTTTGTTGACGCTTCTCAAACTGCTGTTGGAGCTGTTTTGAAACAACCAGATGAAAATGATGTCCTTCACCCTGTATCATATCATTCCCGAACTTTAAGAAATTATGAGAAAAATTATACGATTACTGAGTTAGAATGTTTGGCCATAGTAGATGCCCTAGACAAATTCTATTACTATCTGCATGGACAAAAATTTGTTATACATACGGACCATGCGGCCCTCGTTTGGCTCAAAAATGTTAAAAATTTAAAAGGTAGACTCTTCCGTTGGTCACTCAAACTAAGTATGTTCAATTATGAAGTAAAGTATCAGAAGGGCTCTACCAATATTGAAGCTGACATGCTTTCTAGACATCCTGTTTCACAGCACCTCCAACATTATGTACATTTACTTGATAGAAATGAAATAATCCAACAACAAAAAAACTGATAATGTCTGCGGAAAAAATTACCAAGAGATAAATGATATGATGGTAATTAAGAAAAAGAATTTTTATAAAATTGTAGTACCTAAATCTTTAAGATTAAAATTGTTGAATAAAACCCATGAAAATTTTGGTCACCCGGGAGTTCAAATTATGCTTAACTTAATCACCCCTCAATATTATTGGCCTCATATTAGCGAAGATATCGGAAATTTTGTTAAAACATTGTCATACTTGTCAACTTAATAAAAAGAAAAAACAGAAAAAATTTGGTCTTATGCAAGACGTACCCCCAACCGACAAACCTTTCGAATGTCTCTCTATTGACACTGTGGGAGGATTTAATTATTATAATTCTACAAAAAAATATTTACATATAGTTATTGACCATGCAACAAGATATGTCTGGGCTTTTCCCTCTAAAAGTGTAACTTCAGAAACCTATGCCAATTGTCTAAAACAAATATTTCAAATACAAGTCCCCGAAAAAATTCTGAGTGACAGGAATGCAGCCTTCACTTCCTCTAGATTCAAAAAATTTCTTAAAAAGCATAATGTTAAACAACTTTTAACTTCATCTCACCATCCCCAGACAAATGGTAAAGTAGAAAGAGTAAATCAATCAATAGTAAGTCGACTAAAATGTAAAGTAAATTCTTCTTCTAAAAAAGTACCATGGACTAAAGTGCTAGAGCAAGTTGTTATCGAATATAACAACTCCCCTCATACGGTAACTAAGTTCACCCCAGCATACTTACTATTTGGTAACCTCCCTTTTGAATCTCCAATTGATCAAAATAAATACCCTTCCTTAAATGAAGCAAGGGCTTTAGCAAAGAAAAGAACTATCGAATACCACCGAAAGAATAAAACTAAAAACTAGATATGACATCAGATTTGTAGAATCTAAATTTCAACCTGGAGATTTTGTCCTTTACGAGGAATTTCGAATACCCAAATACTAGAAAATTGACTTCACCCTATTCAGGCCCTTATCGGATTATGAATAAATTATCTGAAGTTAATTATGAAATCGACAGGGAAAATTTTCACACGAAGAAACCAACTGAGATTGTACATGCGTCAAAATTAAGGTTCTATTATCCACCCGAGAACTTTAAATTACATCATGAATAAATCAAAATTTATAAATCAATAAACTATCCATAACCCTTCTTTTAGTTTTCATCCTGTTGTCCCCCTTAATAATTGATTTATCTCTCAGTGTCTGAAAAGTTTGTCTGCCCTTTTCTTTTACTGGGCTCCTTCAAACTTGAGTTTCAGGTTCAATGCACTTTCCGTGTGGGAAACACTCAATTGAGGCTATACTACAAGTAGAGTACTATACCCTCACATTTCCTTGAGCTCATGTTTTCCTATGTTTGTGTTATAAATTGTAGCAACAGTTGAAAAAGTTAAATTTCAGTTGTTGAAATTTCTGAATTTCATTTTATGTTTCTGCAGCATCGTGTACAAAAACTGGTATGGATGTTGGAAGTTAAATTTTGTTTTGTTATCATTAATAAGAGAAAAAATAGAGTGACAAAATATGTTAAAAACCTAGCAAAATGTGTATTTTCAACAAGAGTATATAAGAGCTCTAGTATCGTGACATAAAAACTCAAATGTTTTCAGTGCCAATGCTGATCCATAATTCTAGCGCTAATTAAATGATCCGGAGATCTCCAAAGACCAGTAAAAGACTGAAGATGAGACTGAATGACAACTCTAATGATTGTATGGACTCATACACAAACTGTGAATGGCATGCCCTAAGATGTAAACTTACAAATTTAGTTATATTACTATTTCCTATTGCCGCGTAGCTAACCAGCAATATGTTATTAGTGCTTTATTTGTTCTGCACTTAGTTACTATATTATAATTTCATTAATCATTTATTATATTTTATATACTGTATTAATTATATTCAAATATTTTATGTCATATTTTATGTAAACATTTTGTGTCCCTTGAGGTAAATCCAATCAGTTTTCCTACTCACTTAATTTCCTAATAACTAAATTTTTCTGCTCTCACTATCTGGACTGTCTTGGGTCGACGGCCGCGACTGCAAGCCTTTTCAGATGGGGGGGGGGGATAATCTGTAATGATATTTTTAAATCAATTGATTAAATTAAATTCTATTAATATTGCTTAATAATGTGTTGGCGATTCTCTACCTAAATTGCATCCCTGTTCCTAAATTTTGGCGAAATCCTTTCTTCAGTATAAAATATATTAACCTGTTTGCCCCCGCCAAATCGTCAAACTCATAAATCTGTCATATTACATAAAGTACTTAAGAACACTCCTGATGAGAAGATAGCGTCACCTCGTGATTTCAATTAATATCGCTGATTGGAGGAGCTTCGTGACGTACACATATATGTATAAGTAGGGCTTCTGCTCGAGGTACGAAGAGAACGCTTGTGAGATGGATGCTAAAATAAACCTACCACTTTATATTCCAAAATTTGTCTCATTCCTGTTGCCCCGGCTGCACAAAACAAATAATGTATGAGAAATTACGTTTCATATATATACATATTATACGAATTTGTAAATGTTTCTTACCTTCACAGCCTTTGCTTTGTGTGAACGTGGGTGACATTTGGACAAATACATTCTTCTGCACTACCTTTCTTTATGCATGTTCCAGCACCACATTTTTTGCTGCAGGATGGCAAGTTTTCGTCAGCTGAAAATATACATTTATCAATCATTAACGGGAGGTAAATGAGTCTTAATGTTAGTCTTAGAAGCGGCTTTCGGTTACTGCAATCAAGCAAATAAAACAATATTTTTAATCGACAGTTTGTAAATCCGGCTAATGTAGTTCTCGATTAAAATCCGATTTAGCTGTAGGGCTAATACTCTCGATTTTCTGTCTTTTTGTAAATATTACACATTCATTTTGCGCCAACTGAAGACATGTATCTTTCAGAAAACAATATCTCCACAGCCCTGTTGAAACTTTACAAACGTTTCTGTTGCACTGGGCTGAAGTCTGAAGCAAAATCGTATAGCACAAAATAGCTCGAAATCCATGTCACCCATTGTCAGGACGAATTGGTAAAAAAACAGTTAAAGAAAAAAAAATCTTATGGAAAGCTGCATGATTCAAACAAGCATTTCAGATATCAAATCGACAGTTTCATATACTTTATTTTCCATGCATGTGCCTATAGTTTGTATCGTAAATCTTTATATATAGTTTTTCATAAACGTAACTTTAAAATATGCGCTTTTGGAAATTGTCAGCAGTGGATGAAACTGCGGTAACACTTCTGTCAGAATGCGGTATTTTGCTGCTAAAGGAATAATTACATTGTATTTGTTCTTACAGCGATCATTGAGAAATTTTTTAATACGAAAGAAAAAACACTTATATATAGTTTACTTCACTTATTTCCAGAACAAGTAGCTAATTAAACATAAAATATAATATATGCAACAAAAAATATATCTTACATTTAAATTAAAATTTTTTTCTAGTACTAAGCGAATATGTTTGCGCTAATACGTAAGTAACAAAGTTTTCTTTTTTTACTTTGTTTGTGTGAATTTATTTTCTGCGCAGAAACTGATTCTTTGAAAAATGCCTCAATGCTATTCTGATAAATGTAGTTGCAATTTACCGTATGAGTAGCAGGTCAGAAATAAAGTGCGATCTTTCTAGAATTAATTGATTTTTCCTAGTATCAAGGAATATGCACGATCATTGTCCTACCATATTCGGATAAATTCGGAATAATTTTAGGAGCTGTTAAGCGTACAAGCGAAATGCAAAAGGGCAAAATCAAGCGAGACATACAGGATAAATTTCTAAACAATATTCATATTATAAGGTATTTCGTCCGTCTACTTAGTATGTCTTAGTGATGTAATGGTCAGCACGCTCGGCGCGTATTCAAGAGGTTCCAGGTTCGAGTCCCGACGAGGACATTGCACACTTCTTTAATTTACTGATTAAAAAAATTCTACATAACACTACAGTGGCGCCCGAAACAAAAGTTTGGTGGATGATGATCCTCCACTATCAGGATTTGTCGATTTGATCTACTAATCCCCAGTCCTTTAAAGGGGGAGAATATAAGGTATTTCTCCCGCCTTCTTAGCATGTCTTCGTGGTGTAATGGTCAGCGCGATCGGCGTGTATTCGAGAGGTCCGAGGTTCGGGTCGTGGTGAGGGCATTGCAAATTTTTTATGTCTCCTGCTTCGAAATAATCTATATTCTTGAAGCACTTGGATCGAAATTGCTGCATTGTCCCATTTTGTTCGGTGTGCTCAAATATATCTGCAGCTTTTAATTAATTTTCGTCTGGAAAGTTTACCTAAAGACCCTAATATATTTTCTAGTTTCAAGCGCACGGGTCATTTAAGGATACTTATTTTTAACTGCTATAGATATTTGCAAACTAAACTAAGAAAAATTTTAAAACATCTGCAAGAAGGAACCGTGTATTTGGCTCAAGATTAAAGATACCAGTCTAAAGAAATACATTAAAAACTGAAGTAATTAATACTTACCATTACATGTGTATCCGTCGCGGTCGAGCTTAAATCCACCCACGCAAGTACACTTTCCGGTATTAAAATTGCACAGCTGCGTGCACTTCGAGGCACCAGGAGAACATAAGTTAACTAGAAACGATATGCACAAGTTTTGTAAAAATATGGGTAAATATATATAATGCTTAATTAAAAAAAATTACAAGTAAAAAGATTATACTATCATGGAAAAGATTTTAAGAAACATTATTTCGAAATTTTGGGTACAGCAAAATTACATAGATAATATTTATTCTCGGAATGGAGTATTAAGGAACTTGAATTAGGAAAATGTACAGAAAGTTTTATAAAAAAACCTCAAATTATGAACAAAGCACGTACTTTAATGTTTCAAACCGACTCGTCAAGGGATAATAATTTAAAGCATTAAAACCTGAACAATTAAGGAGTACTGAAAACAAGTTTCATTTACATTGACTATTTAGAAAACTGAGCTTTTGATATATAATTATAACATATATCTATATATATAATTATATTATTATAATATATTATAATATATATATATATGTTATAAAATTCTTCTTGGAAATGCAATTTTCTAGACTGTAGTTTATCTGTAAATTAGTAATAATATATTATAATAATAATTATATTTCTAATTGGAACTGGTATCCTAGAACAGCATCTCCTAACCTGTGGTAGTGAGTATGTAACAAAATTAACCATATTGGCGGGAAACCACAAAATATTATAATGAATACTCATAAATGAAAAAAAACTAAATGGCTCGATAGTTTAAATTTGTCACTGAATAAATCTGGAAGTAATTGGGAGAAGTTTCAGCGTTACTGCCATTGTCTACGAAGGCAATGTATTTAGTTGTAATTAGCCATGCCTACACATTTCATATTGCTGAATTCCTTAAATGTAAATGGTTCAATAGTAACCAAGCTATTCACGATGAATTAAATATTGATGTTATTAGTACATTCATGGCTAAGATAGCAAAACGTTTTTTGAAGAACATTACTAAAGTTAGTAATAACATCATTCCACTTAAAGTTTATTATTCCACTTATAAACTACAGATATATTGCTGCTAAAAATCACCAACGGCCAGGAGCTGTCCGATGGCGTCTTGTTTAACCTTGTCCTACGTTTTATTTCATAAATTATTTGACTTCTTGGATTTTGGATCGTAATGTTGCTACTGGTAGCTACTACAAAGAGTACAAAGCAGTAAAAAAATAAGAAAATTAGCATTAGCAAAAATAGAGAGAATAAAGGTGTTAACCTAGTTTAACTCCGCACCTGAAGACGAAAAGAAGAAAAATGACGAAGAACTTCAATAAAGTGATGAGAAAATAAAAGAAGTCCGTGCTGAGCAGCAGTTTGGAAAAGTCACGAGATGGGAAAGAACCAGGAATTGTTTACATGTTCTTTACCACAGAAAATGTAGGGAGGCTTTTCTTCAGGAGTTTTCGTACATACATTGCTTCTGTGTTTTTCCAAATTTGCAGCCTTTTTACTTCCTTGTACGAAGTAAAAAGGAAGTATTGTAATCGCGAAAAGTTTCAGGCAGCATATTTCAACGAAAATATCCATTTTGACCGCTATCGAATGCAATTTAACGATGTTTTTGCTTGATATCTGTACGTAAGGACAGAATAAAATACCCTTTTCCTTCAAAAAAATTATAAAAACTGCTTTAAAATGAATTCTGAAGAGAATTTTTCGTGGCGTATGTACGAACGTACGTACGTTCCTGCGTACGTAAGTATCTCGCATAACTCAAAAACGAGTAGCCTCAGAACGTTGAAATTCTGTATATAGGACTGCTATAACATGTAGATGTGCACCTCGTATTTTGGTTGCAATCGGCCGCACAAAACGTATGTAAATATATTTATATATATATCCACTCTATTACCCGTCTCAGTGATCTCAGTTTCTTTACTCTTATATGTTTGTAACTTGTACATTTTTTTCTTTAAAAATGATTGAATTATATTGTTTTTATCTTGCGGTTAAGGATTTTATGCCTTTAGTAAATCTGTGCGCAATATTTTTAGAATTATCAGCAATTTTAAAGTTGTTTAATTGCCGCTAAGCCTGTTTTAATGGCGGCCATTAATGTTTACATTTGAAACAGGAGACTAGTCGATTTGTTGCCAATCTAGAGAAACTTAGCTTCGCAACAACAAAAATAACGCATTCATTTATTATTGCCAATTAAATCATGCTTAATTCTTTCTGGAATTTTTTCGAGGAAATAAGCGTTTGAGATTTACTTCGTAATTTTTAATATAGATATTTTGAGATTTTTTGTAGTTTTGCCTTCTCGCGAAGTAAGAACTGAATTAATTAAATGAGAAATACTCAATCGTCTGTGAAAAACTGTTTCTTTTTCTTTTATTTGCTTAATTTCTTTTATACATAGTTCTAGCTTTATTATAGTATTTGAATAGAACATGTGGCAACGATTAGATAATTCTTTAAATGATATACATTTTGTGCATTCTGAGTTATAATATGAATGAAATATAATACTGTTAAGTAAACCTAGCGCCAGAGTGTCGCTATTGTAAACAAAGTGAATTTTAAAAAATGCATTTATTCTATTGTGGTTTATGCGCTGTCGGCGAAGTAGGTTTAATTCAATCTAACAAGTTTAAATGAAATGCAAGAAAAAATGCGTATGATTTAATATTCCGTATAAGGAAGTCATGTGGTGTACACATCAGATATTTTCTTGATTATTAAAGAAGTGGAGTGTGTCCATACGCCTTGCACGGAAACATTGCGTAGCCTTCTTCTGGGCGAAAATCGTTCAAATATCTTAATAAAACCGAACATGTTATTCAAGTGTAAAACTGAAACACATTATTTCCGGCGGTATTTCTTCTTAATTCCAGAAAGAAATCTGAAGTTTCCAAGAAGTTTCTCCTTAACTTCATTTGTCGTGCGGGTAAATTGTTGCGCTTTTAATATAGGAAAGTCACTTCATTCTATTCTAAGTCGGAGAAAATTGATTCCTTTTTCACTGAAGACGGTAGATTTCTCATAATTATTTAAACGTTCTTTTGGATGCTTAACTGGAAAGTATGGAAAGTTATATTCTTTTCACCTAGGTCCGTAGTTACGTTTCGATAGTCGATTATTATTTTTTTTTTTTTTACATACACATAGATGTTTCTATTTTTCATCGTGGATTCATATTCCTCTGTACAAGGTTTTTTGGAAAATTTCATCTAACTTCATCCAATCAACGGATTCCTCCAAAAAAGACGATCGGAGGTATTTTTTTTCATGAGTAGCTTCTTCGTTTGTTTCTTCTTGTTTTTCTAGCTCTTGAAAGCGATTTTCATTAGTAAGGTTAATTTGCGTAGATTGTTCTGGCACTTTTACTGGATTTTTCTGGTATTTCCATTCACTATCAGGAGGGTTGGGTTCTCTCTCTTATGCAGAGGTTCCTTCATCTGCGCGGGGTTCTTGAGCGGTGGGAATCGGTGTCTCTGGAACAGTTTTATCTTTTTCAATACAGCATTAGCTCCCAAGGGCAATGCTAAACTTAGCGCTAATAAGAGCGCGCATTTAAAAGCGAGCAATGGCAACACTCTGCGAGGGAAAAAAACGTTTTTAACTCCAGCGCGCGGAACTGTGTATCGGAAGTTCTAAAGATAGGTTCATTTTCAAATTATTTTGCGACATTGTTGTTGAACTGAATTTTATGGTTTAAGTGCAAAGAACATGATATTTAATAAATAAAGGTAACACACAAAACGCTAATAAACGCCCCTTTGGACGTAATTTAAAATCTGAAAATTTCAGATTTTTTGTTTTTGTTTTTTTATTTAATTGAATACTACTAATTTTTTCTATATTTCACAGCTTCTCACTAAACAGTGCGATTCATTGAAATATACGGAATAAAGTGTTGTATATTTTTGCATATTAGCTCGGTTTACTATGCCGCACAAAGAACTATGAAAATAATTAATAATTCAACTTCGATCATCAGCAGTATAATATCTCTTGCGTGAGAAAATAACAATACAGAGCATGCTTAGGTATAAAATAAAAGATAGAGAGCGAAATTATGAATAGCGCCTATATTTTTACAGCTTTTCATTCCAGATTTGTTAATCTTAATTTCTTTAATTTGTCTGATTTTCTTTTTACGTCCTTTTAATATTTTCTTATCATTCAACATTTCTTCCTAGCTTATATTATATTTTATTCACCTCTCAGTCTTTCCAGTTTTCCTATGTTACTTCCTGTTGTGAGATATTTTAACACTTTTAACAACACACAATGACTATAGTATTTTACAACTGAATTCAACATAAATCGATGTTTGACGGAAATAAATTTATCACTTTATAAGATATTTCTTTCACTTCTCTAGGCCCACCAGCGGCCGAGCGGTAAAGTCGCTGAACACTGGTAGTTCGGTCCGAGGTTCGAATCCCGCGAACGGGCTGTCTACATGGGCGTTTTCGTGGTTTTCACCCATGTGTAACGTGTATACGAGCCAGTTTCCCTTAGAAAGTCCTCCACGAAGGCATCCCTCCCCTTAGGCAGATAACCCTCGTGTGCTTTGCCATAATTAAATACACCACACCACTCACTTCTCTAGCGTGCCTTCGTTGTGCAACGGTAGCACGCTGAGCCGGTATTCCAGAGTCCGTGGTTCGAATCCCAGCGAAGGCGTTGCTAATTTGTCCTCTCTCTGGCTCCAAAAAATACCTAATGACTCTACAAGTGGCGCCCGAACTAAAAAAGGGTTGTGGATGATGATTCTCCGCACTCAGAATTTGGCGACTAGGTTCCCTAAAACCCTAGTCGCAAAAGTATGTCGCAAAAGTATTTTTCATCTTGTCTGCCTTAAAAAAAACCTAATGCCTCTAGAACTTTACAATAAACGGCATTCATTGTTCCTAATACTCTTCAAGGCCCACCAGCGGCCGAGCGGTGAAGTCGCTGAACACTGGTAGTTCGGTCCGAGGTTCGAATCCCGCGAACGGGCTGGCTGCATGGGTGTTTTCGTGGTTTTCCCCATGTGTAACGTGTATACGAGCCAGTTTTCCTTAGAAAGTCCTCCACGAAGGCATCCCTCCCCTTAGGCAGATAGCCCTAGTGTGCTTTGCTATAATTAAAATACACAATACACTAATACTCTTTAACTACAGTCATGTTCAGACTTATACAGCTCTAGATGCATTTACAAAAACTGGCTGTTCAATAACCTTTCATTTCCTAATAGATTTTAATTTTTAAGTTTATTTCCTCTCTACGCCTCCTGAATTTCTAAAATGATCTCAAAAATTCTCCTTAAATGTTTCTCTAGATAATTGACACTAGAATAGTTGTTCATTCTGTATAATAAGGGAATGAATTCAAGCACGATTCTCCTTTCTTTGTGACAAACTGAAAGATAGTTAAGTGCACGAAGAAAACTTATAGTTCATATAATATAAGTACAAATATCAACTAAAAAATTCAAACAAAGAATTGCAGTTTAATTTTTTTTTAACAAAATCATCTTTGAATTTAACATAAAACGATCAGAATTTGTAATCATTATCACTAGTTAGTGTTCCGGGGTTTCTTTGAATTTTGTAGAATTCAGGACGTAAACTGTATAGCTGCGTTATATATACACTTGAGCTGCTGTCATTCTTTATGCGCTTAATAGAGGTAATTCTATTACAAAATATGTGTTCGCTATCACTGATACTGGCACTACATGGAGGAACACCACACCTCCGTATCACGGAAGAGGTTCAGGAAATCGTCAGAAAGCCCCCAGGAAAGAATCCTCGTTGTTAACTCATAAGCCGCTATCAATTGGATCCCACTTAACTACAGCAGAATTTTTAAAAATTTGTATTTTCTCGGGTGCCCTCGCTGAACTGGCAACCCAGGGTCACCACTTCCAAGCGCTTGGTGAGCACAAAGGGTGGGGAAGCGTATTAAAAAACCGCAGCTCTGGCCATCAAGCCAGTTTATTCGGATTGCCGAAGCCACGACCTGCCGGGACAGCATTTTTTTTATTTATTTATTACGTGCTCCTCCCTCAGGCACTACACGTTGAGGGAGGGATGCCCCGTGGAGGTCTTTTTAAGGGAAACTGGCTTGTATCCACGTTATACATGGAGAAAACCACGAAAACGCCTATGCAGCCAGCCCGTTCCCGGAATTTGAATCCCGGACCGAACTACCAGTATTCAGCGGCGTTTACTGCTCGGCCGCTGATGGGCCCGGAACAGTATTGACTGCCTTCCTGACCATAGACACCGAGTTTGTGTTATTGCGCCGCCAAAGCCGCTCCTGTGGTAGCATTATATTTTAATTACATAGATTAGGTAAGCCTAATTACGTGAACGCAACCCGAGGGGTCTTAATAGAGGTAAGGGAATATAATGAGAATTTTTTTTCCTAATCACTAAAGATTCAGGAGTTATTTTTTCATTTTTCTTCGGTGCTGTTTATAAAGAAACAGAAGCTAACTAAAACATCTAAAATGTTCAGTTCCTTATTCTTCTCCATATAACATACTTCCATATAATGGTTATTTAAATATAATTTCTCATTTTGGCCAGATATTTTTAGACTCTCGCATAAAACAATTATTAAATCTTTTATGAAAATAAGAAGACAGAACTCATATTCGTTAATTTTCTTATACTTATTGTTAATGTTTAAGATCCCATTTTTGTGATTTTACCTTACATATATGGCAACCTCTTACCTTTTTTGTGGTCTGACATGTTTTAATTCTAATAGCACTTTTTGAATAAAATAAAATTTGTGTCTATAATCAAAATTATTTTTGAAAGATAGTTAACAGCAAGTGCGAATTTTTTTAATAAATAACATTTATTTATAGAAATTGTTTCTTTGAAACACCATACAATAGATTTTAAGTTAAAGAAAAACTAACAGATTTCACTTACGTTTTACACATTTATCTTTATTTGGATAGTAGCCTTTCTCGCATTCACACTCATATCTGTTGTCGATTTCCTTGCAAACAGCGTTTTGTGACATTGTAGCTTTCCATTTGACTTATCACAAAAGTTCGCTGAGAAGGAAATTAAAAAAAAAAATAAATAACGAACAAAATGAAATAAATAAACGTTTTTGAACAGCTTTGAAGAAATAACTGATAACAAGGCTAAAAATGTCACTATCAATTTCCAATGCTTTTTCACATATTTGTGCCAATTTTTAAATATATATATATATATATACAGAGAGAGAGAGATTTATAAGATATTTCTCCCGCCTTCTCAGAATGCCTTCTTGGTGTAATGGTCAGCACACTCGGCGCCTATTCGAGAGGTCCGATGTTTGAGTCCCAGCTAGGGAATTGCTCATTTTTCATCTCTCCTGCTGCTTCCAAATAATCTAATGTCTCTAGACAGTTAGGTAATGAAAATTATGTAAATAAGAATTATAATGTTGTGAAGAATTTTTATGTAGTATTTTGCAGTGCTTAGTGAATATATTAGTTAACAATAAATAGTGAAATTTTAATGCTTCATATTTGAGATTTAATTTTTTAATATATAGTCTTGTTTAAACTCATTTTTCATTTGAATACGGCAAAGCTCTTATTAAGTTAGCGGAAAAGACCTGTACAGAAAGAGGCGGGGGATATTTTCGTTTCTCACGAAGCGACCACTTTGGGGTCAAAGGTCGGCGACTTACTGCTTGTTTCCTTTCCTTATCTTTTGGGGCTGGATATGTGGTTTGCCTGCAAACAGATACAGATATGTGGTTTGCCTGCAAACCACATATCCAACCCCGAAAGAGGCCCGTTTAAGGGGCGGCGTATTTGACAGAACTATAGGTTGAAAATATTTCCATGGTGCTACAGCAGGAAAATGTGTATGTCACTTTATAAGAGGGGATTGATTTTCTCGAAGTTTTGGAAGTTTAATATTGCTTTTGGTCTTGTTGGTTAGAGAGGGTTCAAATTTTGTGCTGCATTGGTTAATTTTAATTTTATTGATATTTTGAACCAATTGTGAATATAGACGCGGTCAGTATTTTGAATGTTACCGAGGTTTTAAAAGTGGTTGCAGGAGCAGAATTTTAGTAGTTTTTTTTACCTTCGAAAATTTACAATTAGAGGAGAGAAGGGCGCGTAAAGGTTTGAGTGAAGCCCGTGGGGCCGACCGTTGTCTGCGAGTCCAGGTTTCCGGCGACCCTAGATTTGGGGTCTCGCGCTTCTTATACAAAGTCACATTATTAAGAGTTACTTAAGAGATTACTTAAAGAGTGTCAGTGTTCTCGGAACTGCTACGATGAGTTCCAGTCACTATAGAAAAAAAAAAAAAAAAAAAGGTTAGCTAACCGATGAGTTGTTTTTTAGCTTGAAATTTTGCTTTTTTGTGGCGTAAAAAGGTGAGGAAATTTCTTACTTGCTCTAAACTCCGAAAAAGATAGAAACTTTCTGTCTAACAATTTTTCGAGCCGATTTCTTTCGAAATTCTTGAAGGCGGTTGCAAATTTCCAATCAGAGAAAATCTCTAGACATCGCCAGTTAAAATGCCACCAAAGAAGGAAATGAAAGATAATTTTCTCTGGCTTTGTTACCTTATTTATCTGGAGAAACAAATGATCAACTCAAGCGTATCAGTTTTAGGCATCTTTATGTAGAACTTGAAAATCACATTTCTGAGCGGGCGAGATTCTTCGGTCTCACTTATGGACCCTTGTGTTCTGAAATCTACAACTGATTTATTTTTCATTTGCTTTTCTTTTAATAGTTAATTATTAGGATTTTGAAATGTTAATTTTCAAAGCATGAGCAGTCATTTTAATGTGAAATGAAAATGTAATTTTTTGCTCTTAATTAAGTGCTGAGAAAGAGTTATGTTAATTGTTTAAATGTTAATTGTCATGAGTCATCATTTTATTTAACAGATGGGGGAAAATCTCAATGTTTCTTAAAAGGTATTGTAACTAATTTAATGTGTATTGAGTATTAGATCAAGTAATTTAATTAATTACTAAATGTCAAAAGTTTGTTATTTCAAATGTGAATTATTTTCTATTAGGAAATTGAAGCAGTTAAGAGAAAAATGTTTTAAAGACCTGAATCTAAGAATCCCAGCTATCTAAAATTATAAATTTGTGGAAGATTTAATCATAATTAATAAATCAATTAATTAATAACTAATTAATGTCTCTATTGATTTATTATTATTTGTTTATTTAAGTTTTTATCTGTGGTCTACTGTAGGTCACATATCTGATCCTTACGGAAAACATGGTTAATTTCTTTTAAACTCGAACCTGGGTAACTTAGCGGGTAATAGGAAAATTAATTTTAAGTATGTTGTGACTATACGACCAGATTAATTAATTTATCTGAACTGGTGATTGTGTTGTTGCGTGGGAGATTTTTCTTTCCCTGTTGTTTTGAAGTGTTCTGTGTTATATTTAAATGAAAAGTGTTTGTGGCTATCTCTAGAGTTGTACTGAAACTTACATGTTTTCAGGAAGGAGAGCTGAAAAATTTTTATTTTAGTGATAGATAGCAGTTTAATGAATTTGTTATGGAAATGCATTTTCATATTCTACTTCCTTGTACGAAGAAAAAGGAAGTATTATAAACGTGAAGAATTTCAGGTATCATATTTCAACGAAAACATTCATTTTGACCGCTATCGAATGCAATTTAACGATGTTTTCTGCGTGACATCTGCATATAAGGACAGAATAAAAGGACTTTTCGCCCCCCCAAACGAATTATAAAACTGATTAAAAAAGGATTCAGAAGAGATTTTTCTCGTGGCGCCTGTACGTATGTACGTTCGTATGTATGTACGTACGTGGGACATTTAGAGGGGCACCTCCCTTTTTGGTTGCAATCAACCGTACCAAAATTCTATAAATATATCTATATGTATATCTACTCTGTTACTCGGGTAAGTGAGCTCAGTTTCATTTTTCTTATATGTTTGTAAATTGTGCATTTTTTGCTTTAAAATGATTGAATTATATTGTTCTTATCTTCCGTTAAGGTTTTTATGCCTTTAAACCTGCATGTTATAGGTGTATAACTATCAACAATTTAAAAGTTGTTTAAGTGCGGCTAAGCCTAATAGTTTGTATTATAGCAGCCATGTTTGTTTACATTTGAAGCTTAGCAGAATAGTGGACTTGTTGCTAATATAGAGAAACTAAGCTTCGCAACAACAAAATAATATCTTCTTTTATTATTGCGAAATAAATTATTTAATCCGTTCTGTAATTATCATTTATTAAATTATCCGATATATTGAATCAGCATAGCGTCTACAACAAATTAAATCACTTTCTACGCCTTCAGTGCCTTTTTGTCGAGTAAGATCATATGTAAACTTTCAATTTTGTGCACCGAAAAAACTGTCTTCTTGCCCGCTGGCCGAATTACTTGTTTTTCCCGTAGAAACTGTAATTTTTTTAATTTTTTCTGACTGTATTTAGCGTTTTATGTTTTTCTATACCTTTAATTTTTAAATGAAGATGTTTTGTGTTTTTATTATTTTTGCCTGGCCGCGAAGTGGCAACTAAATTACTTGAATGAGAAATACATTTCAAATAAAATTCGAGAAAATAAATGTTTAATATTAGCAGAAAATACTGTCGCCAGTCTGTTTCGAACGGAGCAGAATTTTTTACGAGCAGCACATGCGCATTAGATAAGCAACGCTGAATCGTCTGTGAAAAACTGTTTATTTTTTATTTGTATAATTTCTTTTATACATCGTTTTAGATTTATTATAGTATTTTAATAGAACATGTGGCAACGATTAGATAATTCTTCAGATGATATAATTTTTTTCTTGTTCTGTATTACAAAATGAATGAGATGCAACGCTGGTAAGTGCACCTGGCGCCAGAGTATCGTTATGGTAAATAAATGTAGTGAATTTCAAAAAGCGCATTTATTCTATTGTGGTTTATGCGCTATCGATGAATAGATTTAATTCAATTCAGTAAGTTTAAATGAAAAGCAAGAAAAATGCGTCTAATTTAATATTCCGTAGAAGGAAGTCATGTGGTGTACACATCAGATTTTTCTTTTTGATAAATAAGCTATTGATTTTACCAAAACACCAGGGAGGATATTATCTTTTCATTGACTTAAAGAAATATTATTATTTTTAAGAAAACGTTCGCCTTTTTTTTTTTTTTTTTTTTTTTTTTTGTCGGGGCACAGCTACGAGTTAAATAAGCAGGCAGTTAAAAATAAAAATAATACTTCAATAGTTTTCTCCTTAACAATACCATTAATTTGAAATAGTCCTAATTAGGTTATTTCTCCCTTCCAACCAAAAAATAATTAACTGCATTAAAAACTCTCTTTACTACATCATTCCTATTTAGTGTTTTGCGCATGATTCTTACATAGGGCTTCAGCCGATAACAATTTGAAATTTGAGAATCAAAACATAAAATTACCCAATAAGGATAACGCTAATTTAAATTTAAATAATTCTACAACAAAGAGTTTATGTTGGAACACGTCGCATTCCAGCTTTCGATAACTGTTCTGCGACTTTGCCACTACAATGCATATAGGACACGACGTAATCAAGACCGGAAGTACAAATTGCACAAATTTAATATGACTACATTGAGTTACGTAAAGTTGAGGTATCATCATCTTTGATCCTAATGTCCCAGCTGATCGATTGTGGTTATCGACGCTAGTTGCCGTCACGAATGGGCCCGGATTTGAATCCAGAAGGAATAGATGGCTGTATGTGTATAGTTCTGCGGCATGGGCCGCCTAAAATATAGTTCAAAATGTCCTATTAATTTGGTTTTAGCAAGAGAAGGAAATTAATTTATTAAAAAGAAGTTTATTAAAAGATTTTTTTTAAAAGCGCAGAAAGTATTAGAAACGGCTGAATACGACAATCCAAATATAAATGGAAATCTTAGAGCCTAAAATGGAGAATGGAAAATTACAGGGAATAAAAAAAGGCAATATGCCTTAAAATAGGAAAAATTCAAAGTAAGAGTGAATCAATTAATTTAAAAAATTTAATTTGAAGGGACAATTAGAAACAAATTATAACCTTAATGAAGTTACATCCACATGTTATTCTGGTAACGGCTGAGAATTTTGTGAACAAAGAAGTTGTATTGAGTGTATGGTGGCTGCGGAGAATTCATATTACATATTTTTTCAAATTAATTTCTTTAACCAATTTATTCGATTTTAATGTAAATTTTCCCAATTTTTAAACATATTGCTTTTTATTTATCTTTTATTTTCCCGTCTCCATTTTAGGTTTAAAGCCTTAGATTTTCATTTCGTTTTTTGTATTTCCTCCATTTAAAACTTTTTGTGCATTTTAATAAAAAGAAACATTATTTTAACAAGTAGGCCGCCCAGGCAGTATAGTGGTTAGAGAGCCTGACTATGATGCCGAAGGGCCCAGGTTCGAATCCCGGAGAGACCATAAATGTAAAAATTGTTTGTCCTTTCATAGGAGTTAACGGTGGTGCCTCCACAACAAAATGGCCACCATTTCTGGCCTTAGGCGTTGCCAATGCCGTTATAGGCAAATGCGCGCCATTGGGGAAAAATAATAAAAACCTTCTGAACAAATTAATTTCCTTAAAATTTTGCTTTGAACATTTTAGTTTAATATGTTTCTTTTGCTTTACAAACTTTCAGCATTTCTGTTTATTTTCTGTTCAGAAATTTATTTAAAGTGAGAAATCTAAAATTAATAATATTAATATGCAATTTAAATATAATATAATATTTAATATTAGCTCTTTATTGCTACATACTTTATTTATTTTAAAAACAAAGACGAATACTAAAGAATCATTAACGACTGTACAGTATTTTTCAGGCGAAACAAAATGGGAAATAATAAAATGATACTTTAAAATAATCATGTTTTTCTTATATTTCCAAATACAAGGCCAGTTATAATAAGTGTGTCATTAATTTGTATTAACCTTAATTTATGAGACTAAAATGCTTTCTATAGGCATTAATACAAATTTTATGAATAGTTATAATTGTATTCTTCTTTCTATTTCAGATAACTATTTCTTAAAATCGTATTGATCTTGTTACCGTGAATTTAAAGAATAAAAATATATTAATGATTGGTAAGGCAACTTGTGATATTAATAAGCAATATAGTTATGCCTTAAATTTTACTATAAGTATGTAGGTATGTAAATTTAAATAATCAGATTATTTAAAAATAAATAAATAATCGCAAAATTCTCTAAACTGGGATTAATATAATAAAAAAAATTCACTTACGAATGCAAGATTCATCATTTTTTGAATAAGCATAGTGTTTTTCACATTCGCATTTTCCATTGGCACAGGTTTCGTGAATTTTATCGCATTCTCCTTTGACAAGCATCAGAGCACATTGGTCTATTTCTGTATTAGTGTGAGAGAGAAAAAAACCAATTAGAAGAGCGCAATACATTATAGGGTATTATACATTTATGAGAAGTACGAAAGACTAAAAGCATGATTCGTCATGACGATATTCAATACTGTTTTAATTTTTAAAGATCATTAATTAATTAGATCATTAATCAATTAGATCATTAAACACAAATGTTCACCATTCTTATTTCTTCAAGGTATATTAAATTAAGAAAATGATTTCGAAGACTATTAAAGAAGTTCATTGACACTGACATGTATTAAAACGCACGTAAACTGTAATTAACCATAAAGGAAATGTTGAATGCGATATCATGAATAGTAACATATAAGTGTCATTTAAAAAAGTAACTTTTCTCATCATGAAGAGATTCTTACTTTTGTAAGATATTCAATAAGATGGAATTACGTATATGAGAAGAGAGATAATTTGCATTTTAAAGTCTTATTAAAGCAAATGCAACTGCTTTCTCGGCACTGTTATTTGCTTTCTAACTTTCAAGTAAAAGTCACCCAATTTTCTTTAATATATACTTTCCCTAACATTCAATATTTAAATATATTCGGCCTTACTATTAATATGGAAATATTTTAGTCAGCTAAAATCTGAAGCTAAATATCACTGCCACTAATTGAAGAAACATCAAGGGAGCCATTTTTGTTTTCAATGTCGAATCATTACACATGTCCTAGTTCTTTTTCCGACTCAGAAGATATTTAGCATGAGATTCAAAGCTAATTTGCTTGTGAAAACGAGAATAATAGTATTTTATACATAAGTGAAATGTAGCGATTAGAGAAATAAGTGATTTCTTACATAAATAACAGTAACTTCATATTTAAATGCTCAAAAACAATAACATTTCATTATAAGAGAACACAATCCCAAAACTCGTAACTATAGACTGTTAAGTTAGTGTACAGCAATACTACAATTCGTAAGATAGAGTCAATCTTGCCAAATCTTGCTATTTATTACTCCCGTATCATATGGCACGGAGCCTTCTCCAGACACAGATTCCAAAGTTGCCAAGTCATAAGTTTCTCCCAGTTATGGCAGTATAACTGCATACTCCTCCGCTATGACCTACGAAATTATTCAGCACACCTGAGCATGAATGTTACCTCAACTCTTGCATGTGTAACATAATTCCTATAGCATTGTGCGCGCATTTTCTTTCTCTCACACTGAATGTCTTGTGTCAGACAGCATTACTTTAGAATAATGATTATAGACTAAAGACTTGTTTGTCTGTTTTTGGTTATAGTTGACTCTTATTTTTCTCATATGCTTTGATTATAATCCCGTACTTTGCTGTGATTATAATCCCCGCATGCAAAGTATTTTAAGTAATTGTAAGACTCTATTATGCATGTTCTTTCATGGTTTCTTTCTAATTGTTTCAGAAGTTGTATTTGCTTATAGCTTTTAGTAAACATCTCAAGCTCTGATTATGAGCTTATTATCATGATGTGCCGTCATGTCGACTACAGACATCCTACATTCTTAGCTCATTATAGCCTAAAGAAACATCCAACGAGTTGGCGTTAAATAGGCACATGGCAAACTTTATGATTGGGAGTAACTCTGTGGATGTACGTTCTACAAGAGGAGTGGGCAAATACTTTTAACCGACAAGTTATTTTCAAGGGCATCACGCGGACATGTGTATTGCAAATTACGATAGTTCTAGAATGTCGAACTTTTTTTTTCAACATAGAAGATTTTAATCAAAAGTCAGATAAGTCACAAAGACGCATTACATTTTTTAAGCCAGCAAGTATAGGCAGAGAAAGAGGGAGAGTAGATGGATTGCAAAGGCATTTACAGAAAAATTTTCATTTATCTGATTGGCAATGCAGACAAGTTTAAGAGGACATAACGTGGAATTAGATTTTAGATATGACGCAGTTTCGAGAAAGTTATTAATACAGAGGAAATACCCAAAAGAAATCAAGAGGCATTTTAAGTTATAATTTTGGTCTGCATATTTTTTACGTTACACGTACTCAGTCTGTTACTTGCTTAGTGAGCTCATTTTTTCTTATTTTTTTATATTGGTAAATTGTGCATTTTTTCTTCAAAGTGATTGAATTATATTGTTCGTATGTTCAGGTTAAGGTTTTTATGCCTTTACTTAACGGGTATGCAATCAATAATTTTAAAGTTGTTTAAGTGCGACTAAACCTAATATCCATATTTGTTTACATTTGAAACTTAACCAGAATAATGAATAAAGACAGTTTCTTCACATTCAATGTCTTTCTGCCGGGTTGGACCGAAAGTAAACTTTCGTGCACCGTAAAATCTGCCTTCTTGCCCGTTGGCCGAATTGCTTGTTTTTACGCAGAAACTCTAATTTGTAAAAAAAAGTTTTTTTTTTTTTTTTTTTTTTTTTTTCTTTTTTTTTTTTTTTACTGTATGAATAGTTTGTGTTTTTTATGTTTTTTCTACATTTTTCAATTTTTTTTGAGAATGTTTTGAGGTTTTATGCATTTTTGCCTGTTGCGAGTGACAACTACTATTGAATTAGAACGTATCGCTAATCAATTTGGAATGAATTTAAATTATTCAGCAAAAATTGTATATTTTAATCCCGTAAGTAAGTCAGTGTGTCGTATCGTTTTATTTTTATAATAATTAAGAAATGGAATAGATCTTATTCATCGTCTCTTATTAATCGCAAATACGATTTTATTGCAAACTGAATTCGCAGATTTTTGAAGGAAGTTCCTGTCATGTATATCTCGATTTGAAAAGTTCCCACCTAGCTCTGACGAAGCATTTGGCAGGCCAGTCAGCCCGATCATAAAAGAGAGGGGAATCTGGCAACCGACGAGGGAAGAAGCGGGAGCGGGAGAATGCAGCATAACGTGTGGGAGGCACAACGTTTTGAACGAAATGAGTCTTATATTCATCCTTTCTGAATGTTTGTAAAAGCCGAACGCTGATATTAGCTACACAGAAGTGTTTCGGTATATCCAGAAAAAAAAATCTCTATATTGTATAAAAAGTGCAAAATACATGTTTGTTTGTTACTTCGTTATAAGTTTGTTGCTTCTTTTATCATGTCGACATATATGCATATCGTAACTGGATAGCTGAACAAGCACGACAATGGTTAGAGATGTGGAGATAATGAGAACATCATAGTGGTGGGATATTAATGGAGTCGACTGAAGAAATTTGCAAATTCTATCCGAAATGGAAGATGGGAAAGTCACTACGGGTTACACTCGGAAGAAGAAGCATCGCGTGTCTAATACGATGAAAAGTGACCAGTGTTCGAAGTGATTTTTTGGTAAAATATGGTATTGAAAATGTGCACTTGAATGCAATGGACTACGTGTGTTAATCCGGTGAAAGGTACGCAGTGTGATGATACTACTAGAAAGGTGTGTGGTGAAAAATGATGTTAAAAATGTGCTCCTGAAAGCATATATCTATAGTTTCTCAAAATGAAAATGGCAGACTGTGTCTTCGTGATAAGAGGCCATCAGTTAGTGCTTAGTGTTTCTTGCTCGAAGGGAACAAAATTGGTTCAAGAGGTGTGCATTTGTGTTTTGGGTTTCTTGTTAGAAAGAAACGGTATCAGGAAAGTATGATAATCTGCTTGTGTTTAAAAGAAAAAATAGTGTTGGAAAAAATAGAAGTTGAAAATAGGCTTATATGATCAATGTGCAATGCAGCGATCTTAAAGTCGCTTACCAAACTCCTGAAGATGGCAAAACATATCAAGTGGATCAATTAGGTGTTAATAATTGTTCCCGTTTGGTTTTGGTGTAAGTTTATACACTTATAATGATTATGAAAATGTTGCTTCTAACTCTTCAGTTTGATATTTGAATACACTTTGAGATACGAATTATCATTAAGTCTTAAGTGCATTTTTTTCTATTTTGTGATATATAAGTCGTCATTAATTCGTTGTGATCGGTACATTAATGAGATATGATCGCTTTAATTCTCAAATGCATTTATCTAAATATGAATAGATATATTTATATTCTTTGAGGTTTAGATGATGTATGCATTTAATGCATTTTTCATATTTTGAGATTAAATTAAGGATTTTATTTAACTGGTGAAAGAATATTTGGTAATATTTTCAGTAGGCCTAATTAAGTTGAATATAACTATCCCAAAATGTTATTTTTAACCAAATCTAGAAAATCTGATCTCGCCCTTGCGGAAGAATTGGTGTTGAAGTGCGTATTATCTATATTTAAGGTTTTGGACTGAAAGGGAAAAAATTCTAGCTAGTGAAGACTATGAGGAGTAGGAAACAAAGGATCTGCTAATTGTTATGAGAGGCAAGGGAAGAGGAGACAATGCAAGAAAGGGAATATAAATTAAAGGCATAGGAAAGAATTACCATTGAGAAATATAAAATAGACTGTCAGGATCGTTACCCGAACGAGGGAAAATTGGGAAGAAAACGTCAGTATAAGAGCTAACCAGAACAATAAGATTACTGACAGTAAATGTTCTGAGTAAAGCAGATGGCTGGGAGTATTTTTTTCAGTTTGGAAAGAGCCTATATTAACGAAAATTTTCCTAATGAATACAAGGCTGAAATTTTAATTTATCTCTCGGGAGATAAGGTAGGAAATTTATTAACATTGGTAAGCGAGGATGATTATGGGAGTTATTAGAAAATCAAGAGAGTAGTTCTGAAAGAATTTAAACCTTCACTCCAAGTATGCTTAGATAACTTCAGGAAAGCAAAAAGGAATTCGGAAGAGGCTTTTGGTCAAATCTCTACAAGAGTAACTGCTATGAGGGAAAATTATGTGAAATCAAGGGTGTTGACATACTCTGAGTTCCTAATCGGTTGCGGGTGGCAGAGAAAGTCTACCAGACCCTTGATACAGAAACTGATGTGTATATAGGAATAAGGCAGGGAGACTTGTGGTTCAAGCCAAGAGAGTTAGGAAGGGAATGCGATATATTCTTTGCTGCTAAAGAGAAGTCCTACAACGTGTGT